CCGCCCTCACCTGATTCCATTTCCGCGCCAGAGCAGCACGAAGTGTTGGCCCCAGGAACAATTCCCGCTGCTACAAGATTTCAAAAGGTCAGCATCAGCAAGGGATCAGTATGCACAGACAAGCGCACTGTGGCTTTCTGGAGAACAGGGATGTGAGTTTGAAGGTTGAAGCTGGTTCAATTGGTGGCTGTATCCTGCATTGAACACGCTTCCAGCCCCATATGCTATAGACACAGTGCAATGGTGACTCTGTTGCGTTCTTTAATTACATTGTTCCTTGGACAAAACAAGACCCTTGCCATACAAAGGCTTCAGCTCTGCAATCGGAAGGAATTTCTGTCAGCAATTAATTGCCAACAATAAGGCAATCATTGGGCAAGGGGTGCTCGAAAAGCGCAAGGGGCAGCAAAAGAGTCTGTCAATGCGCAGGTCAGCCCCTAGAGCCAGAGAAAAGTCGACATGGGAGCCACCTTCCCCCCTCCGCTTACCCCTGCTGGCCTTTGTCGCGTTCAAGCAATGATCTGCTTTTCAATCCTTTTAAGACTTCACAAGCAAGAAGAACTCACACACAAAATCAAACTACGCTGTCGACGAAGGCTAGCCCCAAGGCTGGGGCCACCCATCATCCAGTGGACCGAAATCAACAAATGCAAAGGAGCCTGAACGGGTCCCAACAATCCAGGAACCAAGATCGAAGTCCTCACCTTCAGCGGCTGTGGCGGCGGAGTGGCCCCCGGAATGGCGTCCACGAGGTTCGCCGTAGATCGCCATATCGATCGCTGCGGGAGGCCGCGGCAGCGTCAGAACGCAGGCAAGTGGATCAATCAACCCGATCAACGGGACGTCGGCCTTTCACGAGGCCAAGCCAGCGACAAGGCGCGCACCTGCACGACAACGAAGGACAGGCCGCCGGCCACGAGGCCGGTGGCAAAGGACGCCAGGCGGACGCGCGTGGAGAGCAACATCACCATTGGCTCCCGCTACGGGGAGCACACTCCCGTTGTTGAGGCGTTGGGTCATTAATTGGGACAGCGGCATAATGCACGTCTTTGTATGAAGATGGCAGAGCGATTCCTAGACAATGCCTGTGACAGCATTCGTCGAGGCCAATCAAGTCTTTTGGACATCGCAACACAAAATCGTCATCATTATTATTCTTTTTACAGAACAAGGCAAGGCAATGAGGTAGCCGTCAGCTTCCTATTTTGCCTGAGCAAAGCAGAGTCGGTGATCGGTTCGTTGAAATGTAATGTGGAACACAAACTAAATCTATGAGCCTACTAACTCCCGAAGCCAAGTCAAAATCAACACAAAATCACGTTTTGGCTCGGTTCCCACTCGCCAACTGGCAAAGACGTTCCCTTTGACGTGGTATCATCGACAAGCGCTTTTTGGCATTGAGAGTTAATAGATTCATGGACGCTGTTCGCGTTATACCTTAGATTCAATGAACGGATCATCGACACTGCTTCGCTCGGTCAGATTGGAAGCTGACGGCTACTACATTCCCTTGTGATGTAAAAGTGAAGGATGACGATGAAGAAGAAGGCCAAGTCAGCCTCCCGGCCACAAGAGAGGCTGGCTAACCGCAAAAGACCCTTTGCTCCACTGTAATATGCAACCTAACAGCGCACTCTCGCACACGTAAGTCCCCTCTCAACACACGCAAACCACACAAGGTGCCTGGCCACACCAAACGACCAGGTCTTGGAGACGCCTTCTGCGAGACCATCCGTGCGCACCTTGACAACTAGAAGCAGAGCATGGCGACCGTTTCGTCCCTTCGCGTGTACCCAGTGAAGGGCTGCAAGGGCATCGAATTGGACACCGCAATGATGACACCAACGGGTGTGACGACAATTGCGACGCTCGTCTGGGGATTCAGAATCGCAAATCCCGTTGCGCCACCGCGTTTGTCGAGGGCGTGACGGTCGTGACGCGTCCTTTTGCTGTGTGCCGCTGTGGTCAGGCCTGGCCTTCGACAGGCACTGGGTCGTGGTCAGGGAAGGCACCATGAAGTTCATGAGCCAGAGGCAGATCCCGCAGATGTGTCTGGTGCGCTGGATGGCGTGAAGAGCTCACTTCTCTGGTCGTCTCCGGCGTGCGAGCGCGGACCAGGCCTGCATTCCAAGCGCATCGTATCGTAGAGGGGCCGCCTGGTTTTTCTTTTGCCCCGAGCTGGCGATCTTTGGCAAAAACAACATTGTTGATAGGCATCTGACGGCAAAAAGACCTTTATTGGACTGGGCCATTCTCGCTGTTACTTGCTGCCATGTGTGCAACATTGAGACTATCCATAGTCTGTAGGATGCCTGTTGGTGGCATCAGTTTTGGCAGGGGCACAATTGGCGAGTATGACATGGCTCATGGACCGAATCCCTGCCAGTTTGTATTTGCTCCAGATAGAGGTGTCGCTCCCGATTGAAGCTCTGCATGGTCAATGGGGTCAGCTGGACCCTGCAGCGGCCCTTGTTCTCAACGCCCCAGGCATGGAACCGGTGCAGGTGCCCATTTCCAAAACTGCTGACGACTCCTTGCTGAGGTTGGTCCCCTGCCTCAAAAATTCTTGTCTTGCATATCTGCAAAATGGTTGGAGCTGCTACTGAAAGTTGAGCTGTTTTGTTGCCTTATCTGTTGCAGTTTGTGTGCAATGAAACCTACTGCTCCGCCTGAGCAGCTGGCTGCTTTCAAGCAAGGCCTTGCAACAGTAATGTCATGCCAGGAGCACTATTGTTCAAGAATCTGTTTCCAGCTGGAAGAGGTTGTGAAGATTTTCTGCTGCAAAGCAGAAGCCAGGCGGCAGTGAAGGATGCTCAGCAAGGTAGAGAACTGCCCATTGTATGGACTACTTTCTGTTGGCATAACAATCCTCGCACTGTGGAAGCAGAGAATGCACTGTGTGGGAATGGAAGGGTCTTGCCCAAGATGAGGGGGATGAAGTGGCTCAGTGGCTGTCAGAGTTCATGGGCACTGCTGTGAGGCTGATGAGGTACAGAGGCACACCCACAAGCTCAAGGCATGAGGCTGGAGAGGCGCATGCAGACCCATGCCGCAGACCAACAGACCCAGAATGGGCGCCTGGATTCGAAACTGCATTTTCAGATGGATATCCTGTGCTGCTTGCCACCGAGGTGGGATGAATTGAGTTTCATGTGACCACTACTCTGTATGGACTGTTGGGAATCTGTCATCAGGCTTGCCTCAGCAGTTCACATCGTTCATCAGGGGGTTCCATGTTCTAGAGCTGCATGTTAGTGGTAGTGTGGTTGTCTGAAAGTATGGCTGATGAGGGACAGTAGAAAACTCATCCACAATTGATATTGATGGCCACATACTCAAGGCTTTGATTGCATGTCTTTCCATGTACTTGAAGTCTTTGCTTCTTTGTGCGGCTTGCACCTGTTACTATGGGAGCTGAGATTGCATGGACAGTCCCAAAACTGTGGACAAGGACTCAACATATGGACATACGCATCTTAGCTTGTTTCTCATTCAAAACATGTCAAGGGGCCTTTGTGAAAGTAACAGTGCAACACATTGAACAGTAAGGATGCGGAACAACAACCTGATTGGTAAGAGGCATCAGCATGGGCTGGTGGCGATATGCAGAATTCCTTGGTGGTTTTGAAGATCTTTTGTGCTTTGGGGCCGGAGAGTCCATACAGCAGTTGCAACAGCCCCCCTGTTGGTATACTTGACCCCGCAGTTGGGCTTAATGCTGGTGGTGGTGCTGCGTTGCTGTTGACTGCAACACTTAGATGCTGCTGTGAGAGCAATTGGTCATCTATCACCGTCGAACTGGCACAGGCATGGTGGATTGTTATATTTGGCAAAGGAGGCAGAGGCAGACTTCCTGGGGTATGTTGCCTAAGAGGGCATCACGATATTCGGTTGGAGTTTGTGTGGAGTAATGTACTGGGCAAGTTTGTTGCTGCTGACATTGCAGGTATTAAGCCTGTAGTAAGTTTTGCCTGAATTTGTGTTGTGGACTGAAGGCAGATCTTGAGGATCTAAACCGTCATTTGGCCACTCCCCTCCCGATGAACCGGTTCCGGCCCAACATCATCCTCAAAGACACAGAACCGTGGGTCACAGACAACTGGGCGAAGGTCAAAATTTGTCCTCAAGATGGTGGGGCCCAATGTTGTGTTTCCCAGTGATCTTCAGTTCCCATTGATCGCACACCTCACAACGCGACAAGCCACTGCTGTTTTCACCTGTTTTAGGCGATGCCAGTGACCTGGTGATCGACAAACCACAAGTGTGTAGCAAAGTGTGCTGCCATATATTTGCATCATTTCATGTGTTTTTGCGATTACATGGCTGCAGGGCTCGCCAACAGTTTTGCTTGTATTAGCGATGGCACCACTTCGTGATCATCATGTTCATGTCATCAAGAATATGTCAGATCGCAAATTTGACTTGCTCAATGTGGACTTTGAGCTCCTGTTCATTTCTGCGCTGTGCTCCAATGAGCTGCTCTGCAAAGTGGCAGCCATCCACTCTGATCAATGAGATGACCAATGTTCCCTTGAAATCTTTTCAAATAAACACTCAAAGGGTTGACCAACAGGCTTGCATCCTGTGCTGTTAAGAAAAGCAATTGACTAATTGTTTTTCTAGTTTTTAACAACGACACCCTTAGAAGCAGGACGTATTCATCCAGGTATAAATGAAGACACAAGCAGAGATACTCTGCGGCCTGGAGGTGGCCACTCTTGAGTGTCACATACTGGCATTCGCAAGCCTTCATGCAACGTGCCACCAATGAAGCGCTGCTTAAATGCCAAGAGCCCCCTCTGGCCACAGAAGTGAATATGTTGATGAATACAGGTGCTGGTGCAATTCACTGTTGCAACTGCGTGCAGGGGGCACAGACGGAGTCGACTTCCTTGTGACGAAGCCCTGCTCGCGCTGCAAGGTGACGACCGTGAATCAAGACACTGCAGAGGTGGGGCTGGAGCCGCTGGCTACATTGGCAAGCGTGCGCTCCGGTGGTGTTTTGGGCTGGGACGCTGGTCGCAAGAATTGGCGCCATCAAGTTTTTTTCGGGTGGAATGTCGTCGCGCAGCAGGAGGGCCGCCTGAGGGTGGGAGACGTTGCCTTGGCGTCGATTCAGGAGAGGCCGGGAGCTTTCGAAGGGGTATGACCACATTGTATGGGCTGAGGCGTCAGCTTCACACTGCTGGTAGACTTCGCAGGGGTGCTGTTTCTTGGGGAAGAGCGAGGGCGCTTTCAGAGCGAATGCGCGAATTGCAAATGGCAATGACCTCATGAGCTTAGCAGAACAGCTGCCGTGGACACTGTGCAGTTGCGTTGTGGATTATGCTGAAGACAAATTTCGACCTGATGAATGGGCAGCGCGCCCGGTACTAGGTGCCTCTTTTGCCTGCCCTCTCTGGCCCCCCTATCACTGGCCTAAGAATGCACAGTTAAGAACGCGAATACATAGTATGACGCTTATGTGTGGCGCATCGTCGGCGTGCAAACATTCTGCGGGTTTACGTAAGTAAACCGCGAGTTGGTCCTCCAGGACCTTAACTGCCGCTTTCCACGTTCGCATGGCTCGTCATGGCAGATGCAATACCGTGTTTGCATGCAGACCACGACCAAATGTGACTGGTGGATGTCGAGTGATGAAACACCGGCGCGGACTTGCAGACTTGTGCAGTTGCACATTTTAGTGAAATAGCTCACCAGTAGAGCAAGTGCAGACCGTTTCCACGTGAGTGAAGGCCCGTTTTTAAATCGCTTCTTAGATTGATGCAAACCTGTCTGCATAATGGAAGAGAAGCACAATCGCATTGTCAACATGTATGCATGGCATAAGAAAGATATTGCCGTTCCTCACACTCCAAACGCCTGAAGCACGCTGACGCAAATCAACACCATAGCGACGACATAAACAACGGACTATGTACAAACCCATTATGGATGACCCCCTAGACTTATTCCACGTTGTAAATATATCAAAATTATGCACCCCAGAATGACCTTCAATTATCAGCCGCCATTGACAAGTGCCGGTAGAAGAACACTGTTCGGGACACAATCTCACTAATGCTGAAGCCCCTCCTCATCTTCCTCGTTGTCCTCTGTTAGTCTAGATTCAGGGGCCATCTGGCGACTACAAGGGCACCTTCTGGTCATTGCATTTGTTTGCTTCGTGCAACGCGTGTATCCCATCAACCATTGTATCAGGGGAGGAAACGCCAACTTCACCATGATCTCTGCCATTGACAGTGTCAAAGACGCCATTGTCGCAGTGATTGCCCATCCACCATCCCATCCTTTCACTCCAGGGCAAGTGTTTGATGATTTCAACATCGAGGAGCAAGAGGCCAGGAAACAGCAGTATCCAATCATGATTCTGCATTTTCTTCCCCGCCTTCAAATGATCCATTAGTGGTAATTTTGCTCCATTGTCATCCTTGTCAGCATGTTTGCTCATCTATCCCCAACACACTGAGGAAATTGCAAACAATTGGGACACCACTACCACAATAGTACTTAAAATCCCGTTGGCAAGCAGCTGTGTGTGGGACCCCTCTGACACACTGGTTTCATCTTCTATTCCTCTCCTTGATTTGGTGTCCGATAGGATGAAAACCGTGACAACAAAAAGCCGACATCCAACAACACATATGCAAGTGCCAGTAAGTGGGCTGCAAGTATGTCCATCACTTTGTCCAATGAAATCCCCTACTTGTCAGGAGAGCAAAAGGTCAGTGCAAGGTAATAGAGAAGCAGAACAAAACATAGAGCAACATCCCAATTATTTCAAAACCCACAAGGATGGAATTCAAAATCTCAAGTTTTCACTCATTCCTGACCAACTTTATCACAAACGCAGATGTCCCTTGCGCTGTATTCTGCTGTTCCCGACAACCTCCTTCACGATAGGAAGTGCTTCATTTGTTACAAAGCCATCAGTGTTTTTGCCGCTTGGCGTCATCCTTGCTGTACCGTTCACAGTATACAAAGATTTGAAACTGATGTATATAAAATTTCCATTTTCAGCGACCCGCACCCGTACACTGTTTCCAAGTCTGGAGTGGGTGAAATGACTGGGCCCTCAACGAATCTGTGTTCAACAGATCTCTGTTCTTCTCTCGCTGAAATCCGCTTGTTGGAACTTTGTATGGCGGAGTTCAGCATTTCGCATAATACCCATACGCTCCCACTCACTTGGGTGAAGTTGCTCACACCATTCACATTGGAAAGGGCAATACTGCTCCTGATCCATAGATGCCCACCCACATGGGTGATGTTGCCAAGGCCATCCACATCAGCGAGTGCAACGATGCCCCTGATCTACAAGTCCCCACCCACTTGAGTGACATTCTCCAGACCACTCACATCAGAAAGGCAAGGTTTCTCCCTGACCAGCAAGCCCCCACTTACTCGGGTGATGTTGCCTAGGCCATCCACATCAAATAGTGCATTATTGTTTGGGATTTGCAGCCTCCCATCCAGTTGAGTGATTATGCTCATGCCATTCATTTCAGAAAGCTCAGTATTGTCCTTAATCGTCAAGTTAGGCGATGCTGCCCAGGCAATCCGCGTTAGAGAGCGCCGGATTGTGTGAGAACCGCTAGTGCCCACCAACTTGGGTGACATTACTCAAGCCATCCACGTAAGATATCGCAGTATTGTCCCTGATTCTTGCGCCCCCACCCACTTGACGGACAATTGCAAGGATATCTACATCAGAAAGTGCCGGATTGTTTTCAATCAACGAGACCCCATTCACTTTTAGACCATTGACGACTCGGCTGGTCGCAGCCCCGAATGTGGTGTCATTGGCGTTGAAAACTGCGATGGACCCCACCCAGCGACCAGCTAGAGGCTGGGGCCCAATGCGCTTCGTGACGGCAGGCCAATCGGCGCAACACGTGGGCGGCAAGGCCGCGCACCAAGGGCTGCTGTCCCACTAGGTTTTCTAGCCTGCCAGTCCATCATTCTGTCCAGGCATTACAAATTCATTGTGCGCTGCACAATATTTAACTGAGTCGGCTGCCAGGCTCACCGCGCACGCGGTTACTGAACACTAGGGGCATCTGTGGCCAGCAAGTAAAGGCACCGCGTTAGGCCCGAAGTGCTAGCTGGCGGGCCGTCAATTTCGATTGAGTGGGGGTAGTTTAGCTCCAAGTTTACAATACTGACATGCCTCCCTCCGACGCAACGGGAAAATGGATGCACCGCCAAGTGAGACATTCGATCTGGGGGCGGGCGCCTTCGCGGGGGTTTGGCGGGTCGCGGTGCAATTACTGCTCTCGATTCGCCGCTGATCACCCAATGCCAAGGGTACCCATGCACGAAGTCAGCTCAGCAGTCTGGACAGTGAACCCACTCGCAATACCCACGCGGCGCCGTCCACAGTCCCCGCAGGGCTCGCAGACCGCAACCCCGGGAGGAGAAGCGTGGCGAGTGGGCATCCCCCGCGGCACGTGCGCTCGCCCTTGCTCGCGCTCGCTCACACACGTTCACACTCGTTGGGCGCTTTGCAACGGAAGGGCTCACCTCGTAAGGGCGCGTACCAGGCAAGTGGTCCGAATTGGTTGTGGGGTCGCGTTACGTGCCCCGTTCCGGGGCCCGCGGCACGGAAGCGACGGGCCGCCAGCGGGTCACGTCACGTCCTTAATTGGTGACGCCACAATGTAGGGGAACACTGCTCCGACGTGTGAGTAGCAGCTCGACGCGCGACGGCCAGGAAAACGGTGCGCATCCCCTCCCAGCCACGGACCACATCCGTCAGGTTCCATGCTTTGCAAACATTCATATTCAATTGAATTTCACAAGATGAAATCCTGTTTTGCCGCAACAATCTCAATCTACTCTGTAAGTTGTTCCAATTGCCAATTTCGATGAATTATATGGAGATAGGTTATGACTACTTTTCACACATTGCAGCCTTTGTGAAGGGGATAACGGACCACCCATCAAAGCCAAAACAGTTCAATCGCTTAGCACCCTCTTTTGAAATCGTATCAGATTAGCCTGGTAAATTTCGATCGAGCTGGTGAAGGTCTCATAGTAGTGGCGATGGCAGTTACTACCAGATACCATCAAGTCTGCATGTCAAGTGCTTTTAGAGCCGATTTTTACCGCTGCGTGAAAATCATCGTCTGCATTCAAAAATTTTCATGTGGATTGCTGGTTTCCTTGAATCTGGCCACCGAACTTGGTAATCATGGCGTAAGTACTTGCGCATTTACGTCTATTTTTGCAGAAGAATGTCTTTCATGTTTTATGTGCGTAGATAGGTGCAAAAATGCGTAAAAATGATCCATGCGTACATAAATACAGTGCTGCCCAATTCATTCATTATGGACAATTTTGCACGATTCCAGAGACAATTCACGAGCCAGGCCGCCTTCAGGCGCTGGCGTCGCCGACCGGAAGTCCCCGCGATAGCTGAGGAGACGGCGGCGGAGCCGGCTGCAGCGAATAAAGAACGGCCACAAAGGGTGCTCTCTGGATTGGGTCTCAAGGTTCCTGGAGCCTTTGGGTTCCAGCGTGATCGAATTCTGGGGCATGCCACTCAGAGGGACGGCGAGACCGTCCTGCGGAGAATGGAGACTGGGAGCAGGGACGAGGGGGGAACTTCAGGGTCACCAAGACATTCTGTCTCCAAGAAGAAAGAGTTTGCATGGATGCGCGAAGCCCGCAATTTTCTTCTCTGTATTTTTGTCCAATTTCAATATTGCACACTTTTTTGGCCACGGCCATATTTCGTTTTCCAAGCACGGAAATCTCTGGAACACGTGCCTTGTAGTATCTCTTGAAATAACTTGGAAAATTTAGGCCGAAATTGGTTTGTTCACTTGAAACGGCGGAATTTTGGTTTGAACGACAACCGGGCCTTGAGCTCTGTGAAATCATGGTGATAATATCCACTGTGCCCAGAGCAACGGCATAAAGTTCACCTACGTGTGCAATGCGGAACCCTGTGTGTCCAATAATGAATTTAGAGGACTCTACGGAAAGAAGCTTTGACTGCAAGCAAATACAAGTTTTCGAGAATACAGGTGGACTTTGCCTGCAGGCAGGTATCTGGAGTGGGCTTGGGGCGGTGGTCGCTGCTGGAGCGACTGTCGGGGTCTTCTTGCTAAGTGGGCTGTGGCGACAAGGGTCCCTACATAAGGG